AAAGATTAGAAAAGTGTATATAAAGATATAAACTTGTTGTACCCAGAAGAAAAGGATTATAGATAAGTTCCTTTCCCTTTTTTGTCTGTAGTGTCTGCACTTGTCAGAAGAATTAACACAAACACATTCAATGATTATATATTCAAAGGGACACATTCCCATGTTTTACTTACTATTCTGCAACTTGATAGGGAATTCAGTATCATCTCAATTTTCTGGATTAGGAAACTTTATACAACTCTCAACTTCATTGCCTGGATGAGACATATCCATTGGTTTAGAATTACTGTGGTAATTATAGTATTTGGGATTTCACTAGTTCACCCCAGTGTTCCTATTTATTTCCCAGCCCCCTCTGCCTGGTACTTACTTATATGGGTGAATGCCAAATGAGTTATGGGAGTGTTGTTTGGGGGATCTAAGTCTAGCTCCCAAAGAGAGTGTGCTGGGGGCGGGGGCCATAGTGAACAGCAGCGGATGGCCTGGAATCAGTGTGTAGACCTATCAGTAGGGATTTGATGCTTTAGTGGCAAGGGCTTTCTAGACCACTGTGTTCAAAGGGCACAAAGTCTTGAACTTCAGACAGTGACATTGTCAATCACAAGACAGGAGGTGGCAGTGTTCTGTTTTGAGTCACAGTGGCCCTTGGGTGATAACAGTACCTACATCATAGCGTTGTTTTGAGGATCCTGTGAGTAAATACATGTAGGAGAAGGTCCAGGACACAATAATCCTCAAGCGCCAGCTGTTATTACTGTTGTTAGCAGAATGGACAATCCTATAATATGCTTGTTCAGTAGCACATCTTGTAACACACTTGCTCTGTAGACAAGGTGTGACTGTTATCGTCACTCTAGAGCTCGGTTAATCTTTCTGAGGTTCCTCCTCCTGGGATACTGTCTCATCACAGTGCTTGACAAAACCTGGGCTATTTACATTATGGCCCAAACAGAAGGACTTCCCTAGAGATGTAGTGTGTTTTCTCTTAGAAGTGGAACAGTCACCTCAGTATGTAACCTGGAGCTCATGGTCCTGTCTTAACTACACAAAGCTTGCAGTTGTACAAAGACCAAACTTGTTTGCCACCAAGTTTCATTTAACAAAATGTTCATGGTTGGAATGTAGCTCAGTGGTAGATCATATAATCATCATATGTGAGACTCTGTATTAAAATATATATACACAAAAGCATTAAAGTTAATTTTGTATAGAAAGAGTATCTTAACTTTTGTAGTTTGGTCGAGGTGGTAATCATGCAGTCCCAGGCTGATTGTAATTGGGCCTCTCTCTTTCCTTCATATCAAAGGTATAATTTGGGCACTGATAACCTTCTTTAAGAGCCTGTTTTCTGAGATCTCTGTATTTGCCCCCCCCCCCTTTTTTTTTTCTGGATTTCTTGCTTTGTTTCTTAGACATCTGGCAAAAATTAGAAATAAAAATGTATCAAATCACCTATGCACAGGAAAAGGATGCAGCCCAGACCCGCGATTCCAGTTTCTGACTTATGAAAGGGACGAGTCCTGGCCTGCACAGCTTCAGGTCGCCCTGCTATCTTGTGCTCAGTACTGAGGTTTCTTTTCACTTTTTAATTTTATTTTTGAGACAGAGTCTCTGTTTGTAGCTCTGGCTAGCCATCCTGGAATTCCCAATGTGGACCAGGTTGGCCTTGAACTTGAGTCTTTCTGCCTTCACCTCCCAAGTTCTAGGCTCAGCAGTGTGGTGCTTTCCTTTCAGCTGGAACGGCAGGTTTTTAACTGGTATACCATCTCCCTAGGATTTATCAAGAGCTTAGCGTTGATTCTGCTTTAGGTAGCATGATACAATAAGAAAGGGTTTGAATTTGAAACTAGAGGGGGATAGAAAGGGAAGAGTCGTGTGTAAAGTGCCCATCCTGCATTGTTCAGCTCATCCCATCTTTCTTGAGCTCTCCTATTCACCAGACCTCGTGAAAGTAACTACTGGGCAGCTGAGCCAAGGTTGGCTTAGACTCTCAGCTCCTCTAGTTATGAACTATACAAGCTCAGTGCTTTCTTTTTTATGATTTGCACACCTATTTTATTAAAAAAATTCAAAACTAAGAATATATTAAATCTGCTATACTATGGACCATCAAAGAAAAATGACATTCTTGAATGTTTTTAGAGAAAAAAGTATTCACAAAGATATACTATATTTGTCTTAAAAATTCATTAACATGTCTCACCAGGAACAGTAGATGAAGGAGATAAAGGAATTTTTTTTTTTTAGTTTATTTACTTATTTCACATCCCAACTGCGATTTCCCCTCCCTCCTCTCCTCCCATCCCCTCCCCCTACAAAGGAATATTTTAAATCACTGACAATATAATTACCAAGTTTCAGCTGAATATAAAACTAAATCTAGGGATACTTCATGATATTTTTCTCACTTAACTTTTCTTGTGCCTCCATATCTTTATCTGACAAGTTAAAACATCCACAGTGCCTCCTAGGACCCTTGTAAGATTAAGTCAGTGATATTGTGAGATAGTGGAAATAATGGAGAAGATGGTGATGATGGTGTTGATGACAGGATCGTGATGACAGACACAGTATGTGCATATTGTGAGTTCCGGTGTGTGAGCAGCATTGAGATGCTGAGCGGTGGTGGGGAGTGTAGACAGATAGACACAGTGGAGTAAAATTATGGTGCCTGATGTTGTCTAAGGGGAAGAAGGCGTTAGGAAAGTAGAAATCAGAGGGGCCCAGCCCCCCCTCGCAGGTCAGGAAAACACACGAAAGGATGTGATGCTTCAGCTGAGATCTGAAGCAGAAGTGAAAGTTAGCTGGGTTGGGGGAGGTGATGGGAGGCTATGAGCTCTTGTTCTAGGCAGAAAGGTTTGAGGAGAAAAGCAGAGCTGTGGTATTTTGGACTCTGGGGGAAAACTGCACCTTGTGAGGGTTGTAAGGAGGTGGTGAGATGTGACGCTAGAAACAGAGACAGAAAGTAGATGATAGGAAACTTGTGAATGATCTTAAGGAGTTTGCTTTACCAACACCAAGTACTGTCCTCAAGACTTCTGATTTCGTTAGCCATCATAATTCAGTGAGATAGGTGCTCTGAGCTCCATATTGTCAATGGGGAAGACAAATCATTTGTTCAAAGACACAGATTGAGAAAATACAACAGCCAGAAGGTGACCTTGGTCTCTTTGGTTTTTACAGTTAGAGTGTCTTTGAGCACTAATGCCTCGAAATCTGGCTGTTAGAATTTGGAGCTAACCTTGGTTTCTCTCAACCTCAGTTTGTTCAAATTACATACAGTATTAATCAATATTAGCCCCATGGACTATTGAAAATGAAGAATATACATAAAGGGTCAAGTATAGTGCCAGGCATCTAGGCGGTGGAGCCACTGTTGATGGGCTCAGATGCCGCACAGGGAAGTGTTCTTCCTTCACAGTTGCAGTGATATGAGGCAGAGCCCTGTGAGCATCTGCTGCATGGCTGTTTGTCAGTCATCTTCCAAAGACTGTTGAAACCCACCACAAATCACCTCACTGGCAGGTTCAGCACGTTGGGTTCTCCACCTGCCATCCTTTGTCACTGACACTTAGGTCTCCTAGGAGGAGTAAGCCTGATGCTTCCCTCAGCCTCCTAAGAACACTTCTCTTCAGGGTTCAATGTCTTTTTCTTCTTCCAGAGATAACTCTTTGTCCTGTTCTACTTAAGACACAATGATCTTCAGCAGTTAGCTAGAATTATTCCTTAACCATTTTGTTTGTTTGTTGTTTGAGATATGGTCTCCTTATGTAGCCTAGTTTGGCTTCAAACTCAAAGTTCCTCTAGCCTCGGCCTCCGGAGCATGAGCTTGTTTCTTACTTTCTAGTTGTTATTTACACTTTCTCGTGTTGGTCTTGGGGCAGATGGCTCCAGGTGGTAGTGGAAAGGCCCAGGACACAGATTATGATTGGCTTCATAAGAACGGGACTTGGAGGATACCAAGGTCTAGGGGAAGCTTTTTGTTTTGCTTTTTGTTTTCTTTTGTTCGCTTGTTTGTTTTAAATCTTGATGATCCTCTAAGTTATACAGTGGCAATATTCTTCTTAGCACAATTGGAGAAGCAAATGCCTACAGCTAAGCAATATGCCCTTTAATGAACTTTTTCTGTCTACAAAGTAGACATTTACTAAGTGTAACTCTTCTAGGGCAAGGAAATAGACCTGCAAGACATTGTCCCTTTCTTCAAGGATGAGGCAGACGTTTGAACAAATAAATATGTATAGCGAGTGAAGGTCTGACATGGAGGAATGTTAAAAAGTCATCACTTTATTTTTATCACCTATTTGAGGAAGGCCAGTGAAAGATTCAGAGAAAATGAGAGGCTTGCCCTGGGCTTAAAGGAAAATTCAGGAACACATCCCCAGTAGAGGAGAGGACATCCCACGGCTCGTTGCAATTAGAAAACAGGTACCATTGGAGGCCATTTAGCACCAGTGTGGTTGGTAGGAGAGAGAGACAGGACAGTCTGGGAAAGGCAAGATGATCGCCCACTGGTATGATCCCCAAGAACCTAGGACTTGCATGAGAGTGAAGGCCTTTTATAATTTCCTCCTTTCATTTGGTCTCCTGGCAGCCATCATTTTCTTCATACCCAGCCTATCAACTGTCTTAATCTCTGGATGGCTCTCCTCTCTCCCTAGTTGTCCGCACTCCTGGCTAGCCTGGCTTTCCACACAAAAAGAAAACACAGTTTATCTCTTGAAGACCTCTGACCTGACAGCTTGGAGGAATAAAGGTTACCAGGTGAAAGGGCATGTGTGTCATTTACTTGGTGCAGCACGAGGTAGCTGGGGAGAATGAAGTCCATCTGTGACCAAACACCTATGTTCCTCTTTCGCTGGCAACGTCACCAGAGGGGAGCCTTAAGCTGCTCTTCAAATGAGTCAGACCTGTTGTTTGTGGAGAGCAGGGGCTGGTGCAGCCTGAGCTCCGGGGACGTCTGCCGGGCCCTTCTCACTGTCACCTGTGTTCGTTTGCAGCCGTGTAAATGAGTATGGAAGATTATGATTTCCTGTTCAAAATTGTTTTAATTGGCAACGCTGGAGTGGGAAAGACGTGCCTAGTTCGAAGATTCACTCAGGTAAGGGGATCTGGAATCCAGGGTTGGGTTGGTTTGTCTGCCCCGTCTTAACAGTGACCATCTGCTGGATGGGCGATTGGGCCCAGTACTGACGCCTGGGCTGCAGGGTCTTAAGGCACCCTTTAAAAGCTCCTTCAAGTTTATAGCCAAAGGTTTTCTAAATTGCCTGAGGGAGCACGGTGCTGAGGGCTTCTCCCACACCTCGTCTTGCTTCCTCAGACAAAAAGGGCCAGGTGGTTTTGTTTTCAGGGCGCAGTATCAAAAATAGATTTGGCTTATAAAATAGATCTGTTCATAATCATCTAGAGGTGGAAGCAAATTAATCTGGGCATTAAACCAAGACCAAATAATTCATTTTTAAAAAGCCCCAATACAGATTAAACCTCAACTTTCTAGCCTATGTCCATTCCCATCCAAAAAACAAAGTGAGCTCTTTTGGTTTATAACCAATCTCCTTGGGTCTCTTAGGTAGGAACGAGCTGAGGGCAGTGATGAACTTGAACGAACCCAATATGTTTTCTGATTTGATTCTTTCTCATAGGATCTTAGTGCAAGTCCACTCCAGGGCTGGCTCCTGGAGAATCACTGGCCAAGCTTACATACTTGTTTTTATATGGAAATTAAAGTGAAAAATCACTCTAAAGTTGATTTTGTTTCCCACTGAAAAATCCAAGTGATGCCCTTTTCTGGATCATCATGCATAGAGCCTGTTTTGGTGGCAGGCACCTTGGGAGCACAGGCACCTTGGGAGCATTGAGATGAGCTCTTCGAAGGCTTAAGATGACCTGGTGTTGTGGAAAGAGTACGACTCAAGGTTTTCGACCCAAGTGCTAGTCTGGATCCCGATGCCCAGCTTCCCTGGCCAGGCCTCCCCACTGCATGCCACGGGCCCGTGAGCTCCAAGCCCCCTTTCACTGCAGTCTGTGAGTCTGTGGAAAACTGGAGGGGCACACTGGGCAACCCCAACAACTTGAGGGCTCACAGTTGCTGGAATGTCAAGGTTTTTCCCTTGCTGAATGACCACAGACAGGAGCCCATGTGTTCTCTAAGTCTTGGTCTGACGAAATCAAAAGTAAAAAGCCAACCAGCATCTGGAGTTCAGTCAACTATCAGAGAGATACTGGAAACTCCAGCTGGTTTTACATCCACCTAACCGTAGCAACTTTTCTTGCTTCTGTAAAAAGGACACACCCACACATTTTCCATATAGAAAGATTTGTTCCTTAGTGCTTTATTAGAGTTTGCTTGACAGTGTTTTTTAACTGAAAGGTCATGTAGAGATGATTCAATCCAGTCCTCTCATACAGATCCCGAGGGACCCAATGACATGCTCATGATGTTGAGGCATATTGATGGCAAAGCTGGGACACTGGTCTCCTGCTCTTTGGCCCAATGATCTCTCCATAGTTCTCTAACCTCTGGGACCACTCTCCTGAAAATCACAAGATAAACCCTGCCATTAAAAATGGAAGTGCTTTTCTTTTTGGTCAGTAATTCTGCCAACAAACATGTTTTCTTTTCTGTCTACTTTTTATCTCTCTATCCTTTCAGTTTTCCCTAAAGTTCATATTTCATAGTCAGTATTATATATGTATTTATTATTTAGTAAGCAGTTGAATTGGATTTAGCTGGTTTTAAGATAGGAAGGTTTGGGGAACAGAGTGGGGGGGGCTTGGGAAAGATTTGTTTTATTTTATTTTATTTATTTATTTATTTATTTTTTGGCATTTGTTAGTCTGCAAACAGCTGGAGCTATAAACCTGAAGCTTGGCAGCCTTCTGTCTGAGCCAAGCCAAACAGGAAAATCTATTCAATATTTGTAAATAAAGTTATGAATGTTTATATTTTTATCACTTGCAGACATGCTTTTGCTTTTGGTTTGAAGCTCAGTGTTCTGAGTTCAAAGTTTAATTAAGGAACTCTCTTGTTAGGGTATGGATTTAATTAAAGATGTCCCAGTCTTAGCTGCAAGAGCTAATAAAGTCCATTTTGCTTTATTCCTGGCATTCTGCACTCTGAAGAGGGAGGAGACTAGGTAAAGACATTTTTTTCTTGGTGGAAGTCCTTGCTGCCCCAACCCTCTCCCTAAGCTTACAGGAAATATGAAAAAGTAAGCTGCAGTATATATGTGGTCTTGCTAATGTCCCTATTCTCTCGAAACTGTTATGTTTCCAGGTTAAGGTCAAGCAATTTTCTCCTATTTCATGCTTACAGCAACTTCAGACTCGATGATTTTGAGGTCTAGAGAGGGGGAGTGGGTTGTCTAGGGTTGCCTGGCACCTCCTCTTCTGATGCTGCTTC